ATTTTCCATTAAAGGATTTCCCTTTTCACAATTTCTATTCCTAACGGAATGAAATTGTTATCAGAAGCTAAATTTCGATATAGGGACGAGTATATATACATCCGCCTTGTCTGCAGCTTTTCTTACTTAGGTAACTTTCTGTTCCTCAATATGAGTTTTTATCATCTCTGGAAGTAAGTTTTTCAACTCATGCAGCAGAATAATCTCTCTGAGATCTTCGTATGTCTTTTCTATCTTTAATGCTCTTACCCATATATCGAAGTTGCTCTGTTTACTTTTTTCAAAATCAGCATAAATCTGACCTGGTTCCTTCTTTATGTTTCTGAACCATCGTCTATATGCCTCTGGTACCAATTCTTAGGCACTCAAAATAGCCTGTTTAAACTCTTCATAATCTCTTAACACCTTATCTGACGGTGCTGCAAACACCTCACTAGTCCTGTCTACCAACATAGTATGAATTAATATTGCACACATATCCTCTAGCCAGTTTCACAAATGAAATGAAAAAGGCTTCTACATTTTTTTCATCATATTTTGGCAATGTTTTAAATATTTGTACATATCTCTACCATATCTTTGACTGCAATGTGATTCCTCTTCCTCGCTTCTATCAGGTACTTTTCCTTCTGCCATTTGAAGTCTTTCTTGCTTCAAGTTCTAACTTCATCATTTCCAACTCGAACATTCTTCCCCTTTCTTCTTCTCCTTTTCTCTCTGTTTCCGCTGCTTATAACTGTAATTCAAACTGTCTCGCCTTCCTTTCATTCTCTAACTCCAGTTGTATTATTTGCAGTTCAAGTTTTTTCTAACTCCACTGTACTTGCCTGCTCCTCTGATATACCTAAGTGCATGACTAACTCCATTATAATTTCGGATTTCCTTTCATCCTTCATTAAACCCAAATTTAACCTGCTTGTTAATTCTAAAAGTATATCCTCCCTCTGTCTTTCTAAACTTTCTTGCCAAATTTGCGACAATCTTCAAATCCCAGACCCTCTTGAGCAAAATGAAGAGCTATTTCCCTCACTTTTAACTTAACCTAAATTAAACAGATTATTCTTAACTAAGATTTATTCAAAGACCTGTGACGCTAATATACAAGTCTATGTAATTCTCTCCAAATCCATTCAGATCTGTTCAGTTCCCACACACAAACCACTCAGATCCCAAACTCGAACCATCCAGATCCCGGACTTGATCTGTTCAAATCCGTGCAGATCCCAGACTTGAAACGTCCAGATCCTGGACTTTAGCCGCCAATATTTTGCGACGACAGGGAATCGCCGAACACCTCTGAGAATTAGACTAAAACAAGAGCCACAGTCTGCTATGACGGGATGAGAGGTTCCTTCTAATAATTACCCCCGAAACACCCAGAAGCACCCAGTCGCCGTTCCCCTCACAATCTGTTAAAAAATAATAGTTAAAAGGAAGAAAATCCCTGATCTCCACTTTACAAGTAACAAGAAATGATTTACTTATTTAACCCAACAATGAACAGATTAACAAAATTACTAACAAACCAACAATTCCCCCGAACTGGTCTAACTGGTCTAAATTCTACTGGAATGCTGTTTGAATAAAAACAAGTCCCACTGATCTAAACCCAATTATTATGTAGCAATAAATTATAACTTAATCCCTCCAAGTTTGCACAGACTGTCTTCTGGAATATTCTGTCATCTCCAGTCTCTTCACAAACATCTTTCTTCTGCTAATTCTGCTGGAAAGGATGTTTTACCTCGATAATTTCGAAAATGAGGACTTTGAGCTAAAATACCATGGTGCCTTCAATTAATTAGATGGGCTTTCTCTGAGAGCTGAAGGTGCTAACTCTGGCAGGTGGCGGACTGTTCTCTCTTTCAGATGGCAGTTTGTTGCCCCAGTTTTCCAAATACCCTCATCTTATATACCCATAATGACATAATCAAATTCTTATAGCATTATTAGTTTCAGGTTGTGAACACCATCAGATTTAAATTCAATTGGCTTTCAATCGCTGTGTTTGTGTTTAAATTTTTTTGGCCGAATTCAACCTCATTGCCACAACATCAAAACAAGACTGCTGTTTTGCCTGCCACCTGTAAGGCATTTTTGAAACACTGGTTTCACTTTTTGAGGCGCTCTTTACTGGCAACTTCAGCTGCTGCTTACAGACGATCATTTTTGTTTTAAATTTCGAAGTACAAAGCACAAATCTCTTAAAGGAACCACACATTTTAGCTTCTGGCCTTCCACCTCACAATTATCCACCCAACTTTGTAACATTTGTAGCGGAAATGTTGTCTTAGATCTTTCTATTTGTCTGACAATCTCTGAGATGTAAACCTCAAGGCTCCAATGAGTAAAAAAGTTATTTCCAATCAGTAAACTGAAAACCTACAAATTATTTGATTGTCAGTCTGTTTCTCATTGAACTGAATTCCAATCTGGTTGAAACGAAGACAAGAAAACTTTATTATGTTACAGGAAAATCAAGCCAAATCAAACCAGCCTCACTGAAACTGGATTTGTTGTACAGATCAATATTTTCAGCTACTTTCCTGAACCATTTGAATCAATGTACATGGCACTTGCATTTAACTCTGCTTTCTGACCCCAAATGCTGAGTCTCTCCAGCAATTTCTGTGTTTGGGTTAAATATTCCTGGAAACTGCTGGACTACGTCTGCATCCCCTGAGATAACATTTTGATGCCACTTCATGATGCCACAATCACATATATCTACAGCGCAGAAGAAAGAGGCTTTCAGATGATCTATTCTGTGCTGTTAATAAAAAGAAAACAATCCAATTCTAATCCCTTTTTAGAGCAATTTACCCTCTGCATGGTTTGATTTTTTATGCTTTAATTGTTATGATTCTTCCACACTGTAGGGATCTATGATTCTATGATTCTCACTGAACAATTTAGTCTCAGGGCTGAACATTATTTATCGCATCTGGGAATTAACTTCTTGACTTAATTTGCTGCGTCATTTTGTTTTCAAGAATTCAAACTTAGTTGAACGACGTTGTAACCTTTGCATCCCCAACGTAATCTCAAAGGGTATAAATGGAACTTTTCAAGAAAGTATCATTTTGGGCTTTGATACAGAGAGATTGAGAACACAGGGAAGGGATAAATGAATTAATGCTGAAAATGCATCTTCTAATTCGACAGGTGGTGAAGGTACATTATGTGATTCTTGCTGTCATTGGTGTTCCTGGTAAGTGACTGGAATAACTAAAATTATGTGCAGTTGTGTATGAACTGCTCTGTGGATTTACTGTCTGATGCTTCATGCTGATATCGTAGTCACTGTTTTACAAATACTTGATCAATGATAGATTTTAATTTGGCTGTGTATGCTTGACATTTTCTGTGGTTTCGCAACTGATACTGAACTTCACAAGTTCCCTGAGTGATTAAGATTGCACGTGTAGTGGAATATTGTATTAACATGCCACAGAAAATAGGAAATCATTTCTGGAAATAATGCGAGGCAGAAAGAAAAAGATCATGTGAAGAATTGGTCAGTCAGCAGAGTTAAGTTAGCTCGTTCATTAGTCAGGGCAGTTTGACTCTTCAGAGTCAACATGTCCAGTTATTTTTTTTAAAACAGCATATAGGATTATGAAGGATCTTGAAATGGGAAGTGCTGAGAGGATATTCTCTTTAAGGCCGAGCCTCGGGCCAGACGGGACGGCCACAGAATTAAATAGCACCAATACAAGACTGCAGTGAAGTGGAATTTGTTTGTGGTTATTTCGTTCACATTCTCAAGCTGCTTGTGAGCCAGGGATATGTTTCTTGGCGGACAGACGGCTTTTGGAATAAATAATTTGTCACACATCACAGATCATGCTACGGGCCTAATAGGGGAAATAGGAACTGGACCATGTAAAAGCACATATTTTGGCGGAACGGATGCTATGGGCGAATCCTCTCTGTGTACCTAATCATTCGATGATGCTAAGATTAAAAATCTGCTTGTTGCCAGCAAATCTCCACTTCTACAGACAGCACGTTCAGAAGTTCATTTGTGAAGATTCTGGTGAACAAGCAGCTGAGTAAACAGCACCTACAACATACGGCAGGTAACTTGTTTTAAAATAGTGAAGCAAGCAATCTGTCACAACCGATGGCTTTTGAAAACAGTCCTTTTTCATGTCAGTCAAGTAGCAATGCTAAGAAAGACAATGTATGACCTGGGGAAATTTGTGAAGCCAGAGATTTAGATGTTCTGTGTCTTGGATACTCCGAAAGATGATCACTGTACATATTTGGGAGAATTTGGGGACCTGTTCCCTACTCTCCTCCTTCGTGTATGAAAAAAAAAGCTCAAAACGTGTCCAAACTCTCAGAGTTCGAAAGAATAATCAGACAGACTAGAAGCGATAACTTTATTTCTTTCACCACAAGTGTTGCCAGAGATATTGAGATTATTCAGCAAATATTGTGTTTCTTAGAGATTGCTTGCATCGGCAGCACTTTGACTTTGTTTCATTCGAATGCTTGGGTATAGAATTAAATGTTTTGACGCGTCTAAACTCAGAAATCAATGTATTCCCGATGTTTTGGGATTGGAGTTGAGATTTTTTGTTAAGAACAAGTGTCTCCCTCCCTATGACTGTCCTCTCCCTCCAAAATGCACACAAACAGTTTCTCTGCAAACATTTTGGATTTACTGTCTAATACAGAAGAGTATAAAACTAGGTGAGTAACTTACTGTTATTTTTTCCCTTCTCAACTTTACAGTGAATTTGCTAGGAATTGCGATCCTGTCTCGTGAGAATTGTGGCCTTTCTGCATGCACCACTCATTATCTCGTGGCCATGGCAACAGCAGATCTACTTGTCACTATCACAGAAGTCATATTGAGCCAAATCAGTAATTATTATTTCCAGTGGACTTTCCTAGACTTCACTCCTGTGTGCAGTTTTATTGCTGTGCTCATATCTACTTCTACAGACTGTTCTGTCTGGTTCACTGTCACATTCACCTTTGATCGCTGTGTCACCATTTGTTGCCAGCAGATGAAAACGAAATATTGCACCAGGAAAACGGCTGCTGTGGTTCCAGCATCAACCTGCATTCTACTCCGTTTGAAAAACATCCCTTTCTACTTTATATATGAACCTTGGCTAATAATCGATAATGTAGCCTGGTTCTGTTCTGCCAAGCCCAGTTATTATACTGAATCTGGATGGGTGGGCTTTGATTGGTTTGATAAGGTTTTAAATCCTCTGCTTCCATTCACTTTAATTCTATTGATTAACACTCTGACGGTCAGACATATCTTACAAGCCAGTAGAATCCGTAAGGGACTGAGAGGTCAGAGAAAGGGAGAGAATCGCAATGACCCAGAGCTGGAGAGCAGAAGGAAGTCTATGATTTTACTTTTTAGCATATCTGGCACTTTTATCACCCTCTGGTCTGTGTACGTGATAGAAGTCATATATTATAACATTACAGGAAAAGATCCCTGTGATTACACAGTGTCTGAAATTACCTTTCAACAAGTCGGATGCATGCTGCTGGATTTAAGTTGCTGTACAAATACGTTTATTTATGTGGTGACCCAGTCTAAATTCAGAGAGCAGATCAGAAGCATGGTGAAATTTCCTCTCGTAATCGTTATTCAAATAATGACAAAACACAGGAACTGAAGCCTGTCGAATGGTAAACTATCAGCGAAGTCGCCCAAGTGATTTGACTGCCACTTCCCCCAACGAGGGTTCTCTCCTCCTGGCTGACAGATCCCTCAGCCATTCATGTCAAAAAGTCAAAATGCATTCGCGATCCCAATTAAAGTGAAATAGGTAGAGAAACGCAGCTGTATTTTTTTAATTCGTTCCTGGGTTGCGGGCATTGCTGGCTAGGCCAGCATTTATTACCCATATCTAACTGACCAGAGGGCAGTAATGAGTCAACCACATTGCTTTGGATCTGGAGTTACATGTAGGCCAGACCAGGTAAGGATGGCAGTTTCCTTCCCTAAAGGACTTTAGTGAACCATATGGATTTTTTCCTCCAACCAACAATGGATTGATGGTCATCATTAGACTCTTAATTCCAGATATTTATTGATTTCAAATTCCACCAGCTGTCGTGGCTGGATTTGAGTCCAGGTCCAACAGAACATTACGTGGGTCTCTGAATGAGTAGTCCAACAATAATGCCACTCGGCCATTGCCTAGAGCCTCTGCACTGCAGTAGCAGCGGTGGAGAGAAAGTACACATTTAAATGTGCCTCCCAGTGAATCAATTCAGTCAAACTTTAAATAAATATGTTGCCACGAATGCAAAGTTCTGACATTGTGACAAAATCTCTATTGAGTGCGTATTCTTTTTGAGTGCATGTTTTCGACCTGACAGCTGCCTTTTCCAACGGACATAATACAACATTGTTTCAAGTTCTTACCCGTTGCTGAGCGTTTTATGGAGCGCAACAAAATTTATCTCGGCTCACGTTGTTGCAGGGAGTCTATTCGGCCAGTTGGTGAACAGTCTTGCAGCTCATTGAAAAACCGTGCTGTTGCAATTTCTGTTACTACATCCCGATCTCTTTCTAGAACTGTGCATATGATAAAATTTGTGTTTGTGTTTAGGCCTGTCTGTATATGTTAGAATATGCTTGTGTGAATCTGTGATTATATGTGTGTGAGAGCGCATCTCTTTCTGTTTGTCTCTGTGTTTCTGTGCGTGTGTGTGTGTGTGTGTGTGTGTTTATGTGTGTACGTGTCTGAGTGTGTTTGGCTGAGTTTGTGTGCGAAAGTTTCGGTGTCTGTGTGCGTCGGGCCAGCTTTATTTATGAGTGTACATCTCGTGTACATTTAGTGCTTCCTTGTCTGTGTGTATGTGCCAGCGTTTGCAGTGACACTGCATCACAGTGGCTCTGTGCTTTTTTTAAGCATGCCTGTGTGTGTGTGTTCGCTTTTGTGTGTATGACTCAGTGTGTGCAAATGGCTGTATATATGTTTGTTTCTGTGTGTTAACTTATTCGTGTGTGTATCATATGGACATGCATGCTGCTCCATCTGCTTGTCTGCATATGTGCTTGTTCTGATGCACTTGAGTGCATGCCCATGCTTGTTTGCTAATGTAACTGTGTTTGTGTGTCTGCCAATGTTTGTCCATTCCTCACGGTGTATGGAAGTGGAAGGGAGCTGCCCAGGAAAACGACGATCGCTTTAAGATCATTTTAATTTGGGTTGTTTGAGTCGAGTAGTTGCAAGTTCACGGTGAAGAGGAGGAAGCTGGAGCCCACAGACTGGAAAATTTAAATCGATGGTAAAAGTGCCACGGTTCATCGTAGATGTATTTGTGAAGGGACTGGACAAGGAGAACAAAATGGATTCCAGGTGGGAGGAAATATTTCCCGCGTAGCAGAAGCAGGCAGAAGGAATGGATGCAATTCAGGAACTTTGCTCCCTCTCAACAACCCAGGATATGAATCCCACATTAAATATTGGGGAAGTGGAAATCCTCTGCCATTGCCATATTACTTTCACTGTTCATTAAAATTTACCCACGTATCGGTTCTGTCCCTCTTAGAATGTTAACTGTCCTATTGTACACTTCAAACAAAGTGATTGCTGTTCTTTTGATGTTTAAGTTCTCGCCATATGGTTTCGTTTGAGGAGACTTATATAATAAAATCTTTCCTTAATTCCTCAATAGACTTCATGATCCATATTGCGACATAGCTCCCTTCTCTGTCCAGCCTGAAGATCCTATGCCCTGGAGTATTGAGCAGGCCCTTTTAACCATTTATCAGTGATAGCATAGACATCATGCCTCGGTCTTTTAATTTGTGAGCTGAGCTCATCTGTCCCGTTTTACAGACTCCTTCCATTAAAATGAATGCTATCCAACCTCATCAAACTCCCAGTATGTTACAACTGTGCAGGACAGATCAGAGTTTTGAGCTCCAAGTTTTGAGTGTCAAAAGGATAGAGACTAGAACTCTGTGTCCATATACACCACCAACATTCAGGAGAGAAGTTACAGACAAAAGAGTTTTTTGCATGCAGGATGGCAGTTAACATTGTTCAGTTTTGAAAACTGCATTCCCATGTTTTGACATTTTTTGAAAAAAATGATTCAGAGTTTTGATCGTTGTGTAGATCTGTGACAGCATTTCCTTCAAAGTTCGAGATTTCATTCGGTCTGCTCCAGGAGCATGCTTTGACTGTCAAGTCTCACAGTTTTTTTTCTGTCTCGTTCTGCAAGGCTTCTCTTTCCAAAATGCGAGATTACACATGCACAGCTTCCCTTAACCATGCTGTCTGAAAAGTTCCAGTGCTGAGTAATTTGGTCCCATGAGCATTGCAACCCCTTTTCCGAACAAGTCCACATAATTCTTCACTCCATCTTCAGGAAAGAAAGGCAACAAGCAACGACTATTTTTATTAATACAAATTATGTTGGGTAGTATTCCGCTCATCAACTGAAGAATGAGACTTTTATTCAGCCTGTAGCTTCTGAAAGGTTAAGTGGACAGTGTTAAATAAGACAAACCACATTTAACAGCCTGAGTCAATGATACCAGTTGCTTATTCATGAACATATGGGACAGCTCAAAGGCTCTCTGCAGAGTCGCAAAGAATCACAACTTTTGTACACAAAGTATAGTTATGCACCCCATTCCAAATGGACAACCTATCTATCAGTCTGACTTTTCAATGTCGTATATAGCAACTGCCTGCTTAACGTGTATACCTGGCAGTCCAGGAACCTGAAAAAACTTCGAACAAAACACGACTTTACTGCATTGAAGCGGGATAAA